ACTGAAAGCAGTACCACTTTACAATAAGGCTCCCCTCATAGATGGCTTTTAAAGAGTTTATAGATTATTAATTAAACTGTAAACACTTTATAAAGCATTAATAAATGTTTATTATGTATTAATTAAGGTGAAAAAGAGACTAAACAGTCCAGTTTCTTTCCAAATACTGAGCCAAATCTGTTTGTGTATTAAACATTTCAGACTACCTTGTGAACACAACGATTAGGAAACACATATTTTAACATATTGTACTGTAGTACTGCATTATAAATATCCACAAATATTAAAGGGTCCTTATTGTAAAGCATAAAACTGTACACTATTTTAGATGGGGTGGGATTATTTGTTAACATGACGTGTTTTTACCTTTTTGATACATCATTGTTTACAGTAGTTACGTTTGAACAATGATTTCAAATACTGATAATCAACAAAGTTTTAAAATTTTCACATTAAAGACTAACTTTTGTTATTTATAAATGTTTATTTGCCCTTAATAAATAGTGTACTGTATTACACTTTACGATAAGTCCCTTTGACAGTTGTGAATATTTAAAATACAGTAATACATTGCAATATGTTTATCGTTATTGTGCTTACAATGTAACTTAGTGTGAAATGTTTAATAAGCATCTTTAGATGTAATATGTGCGTGAACAGATCTGTCTCAGTATCTGGTCAGAAACCGGAGAGTTTTGTTTGTTTCTCGTCCTTGATTATTGCATAATAAACATTTATTAATGATTAATAAAGTGTTTACAGATGAATTAGTAACCTGTAAACTCTTTATAAGCCTTCTATAAGGGGAGCCTTATTGTAAAGTGGTACCCTGAAAGCATTTAGGGAAAAACATAAAGTGTGGTTTTATTACAGTGGCTAATTTATTTAGTTGCATCAGGTGAACCAGCAGGAAACTGGAGCAGCCTGGAGATTTCTCCTGTAGTCATGGAGATGGGATGATTCACCAGAAGAACCAGGAGAAGAAGAGCCTCCTGTGATGTCGGGATGTAAAGCAGGGAGGCTGGTTTTAGGGTCTTATATTTTGGAGAGAGGCCTGCAGGCTGGTCCTCCTCCTCTCCATCCTTCAGAATAAAGGAGAACCCTGTCCTCCACACACACACGGTCTTATTCTGTCTTAATTAGCCTCTGATTGCAGTGTTATGTAACTCCCCGCTCCCCCCTCCTCATCTAACACATGATTACATGTTAACAGGCGATCACCGCCACTGGTGCGCGCGCGGGGACAGGTGCTTACCTCGCGCAGCTGATCAATAATCAGTCCTCCGCTCATTTTCAGCCWCCGTGTGAAAAGTCCCCGTCCAGGCTCCGCTCAGCAAACCGCTCCGACTGCAGGAGGACGGCCACAAAACCCAGTCCTGCTTCCCTTCATCCATCCACAGGAAGAGGGGGAGGGAGAGAGAGAGAGAGAGAGAGAGAGAGAGAGAGAGAGAGAGAGAGAGAGA